CTTACAAAATATATTAATTCTTTGGTTTTGACATGTATGTAGGGAAATATAAATTAGGTTTCTCAAAAGTCTTAAATGTAGCAACTTCTGTAGTTCAAGCAAAGTGAGAACAGAAAGTATGCTTGTCTTTTCCTTCCTTTCCTTCCTTTGCCCTCTCTTTCTCCCCTTTCGTGCTTTTTTCCCTTTCTTACATTTTGCTGGATGAGAAATTGTAATAGTAGATTGTAAAGGAAGAGAGTTTTAACAGCTCATGCCTTTGGTAACTGTCCTTAAAATTTTGTAAAGGAAATATTCTACATAAGTTTCATTGTTTCACAAGCTTTAAGTTTCTCTTTAAAGTTTGAATTGAAATATAAATTGTAATATTCTTTATGTTTGTGAGATACCCAACCCTTCTAGTCTAAAAACTGAGCAGTACCACATATAGTTTACATTTGCAACATTTACAACTCTGCTTGTGGTTTTTAGATTAAATTTTTTTATACAGAGAAATTCTTTACAACTTTCAAAATTTTAGATGTGATAATGAAAAGAATGAATATTCTCCTTTTATATGACATATACATCTTATAAATGATACAGGGAATTTATTGTGAAAAAGAAATCCTTATTTTTATGCCTGATGTGTCTTCATTCACTCTTGTGTAGCTACTTACTGACTCTGTTTTCCAGAAAGGGGGGGAAAAAATGGAGTTTAAACTTGAAAAATACTTTAGTTTGTCCAAGGCTTATGTTGACCTAAATAGGTCTAGGTCTTCATTGTTGACAGCTGCAGATAATTAGCTTTTTCTTCCTTAACAAAGAAAGCAAATGGAGCTGCAAAATATTCATTGCCTTTTCTGTCATCGTCACAATAATTTATGTATTTAACTTCTGGAGTTTCTTACATTCTTTTAGTGCTAAGCTACTTTACATTACATGTAATGGGAGTGACAAGTAAAAAACTGCAAAGCATATTTGTGCTGCAAGAGAACGAATGATTGACAGCTACATTCCTCCCTATAAGGAGCAGCTGTGTTGCAGAGCTTAAAAGATGTTCTAAATGTATAATCCTTAGCAATTCAGAAGTTAGTTTTGAAAAGTGATTACCACTTCAGTTGCTTTTCATAGAATCATAGAATGGTTTGGGTTGGAGGGGACCTTAAAGATCATCTAGTTCCAGCCCTAGTTCTAGTTCAATGTGGAAACAGTGGTTAAAAGATAACTTTGAAAATTATTTCTTTTAAGAAATTTGTAAGCACTGCCAGTAATGGAAGTTATAAGAATAAAGAATATGTATTTTATACTCTGAAATAACATTTTTACCCCATTTGAAGGAAACCAAATAGCAAAGTCAAAACTAATCCAAATATATACTCTGGAAAGCACAGGAACATAAACTGATGTATTAAAAACATCCCATTTTGAACTGAAATAATTTAGGACTCATGGTTTTATTTTGCAAGAAATGGTCTTTACGTTAATGTATGTTTGTGAATTACGCGCATAGCTCTAGCATGTTTTACATCTATTTGAAGACTAAAGAAGATCCAAAATAAGGGTGTTAGTCTAGGAACTTGTAGCCTGTTCCCTATGATGCTAATGTTGTGTTGCCTAGAACAAAATGTTTAGGTCTAGGTACCCAAAGGTATTTAGGTATCTAATTGCTTTTAGCTAACTAATCATTAGTCAGATTATTCGTATGGTTATTTTTTTTTGTGATCTCCCCCCTCCCCCCCCAAAAAAAAAAAAATTGTGGTTTTGGTTGGTTGGTTGGGTTTTTTTTTGTTTAATTTTGTCAATACACTTGACATAATTTCATTTTGTGATTTAGCAGCTCACATGTTGCTGAATTTAGAAGGAAATAGCTAGGATTTGAGAGATGTGTCTTGAATCACCACCTTTTCTTTCTTCAGTACTTATTTAATGGTGGGTTTTTTTGTTTTGCTTTGTTTTATTTTTTTTTAATGAGTTTGAAGAGCTTCCATTTGAGGAAAATAATATGTTGGCAAAAAGTAGACAACATCTTAATCAATAGAGAAGAAATGAGTCTAAACTGAGGACTGAAATTGTTTAGCATATATCAGTCTTTGGAACTTGAGTATCAGTTATCCATTTATTTCACAAACATTGATCCTTATGATTGTTGGTCAATGCAAGAATGTAAATTTTAAAAGTAATTCAAAAGTAGATAGATTGTATTATGGCTCATAGGCTCTGTCAGCCAGTTCTCACAGTTTTGTATCACCTGCAAGCTTGCCAAGGTGCACTCTGTTCCATGATTTATAATGAAGATATTAAATGGTACTGTACCCAGTATCAGTCCTCATGGGTACTCAACTAATTACTGGCCTCTAGCTGGACTTTGTGGCATTGATGGCAACCCTCTTGTATGGTTAAAATTCATTTAGAATTATTCTTCTGAATTATGTGTACCACCAAATACATCTTTCAGAATTTTGCAGGCTTGAAGACACAGTTTCTAGTCATAAGAAGTCATTAGTGGTGAATAATTCTCTCTTGGGCATTACTGTTGCTCTTCTCTTATACAAAATGCCTGTACCCACAGGAGATACTTAAAGGTGTGTTTACCTTCTGGTTCAGTGACTGGTTCATAAGGATTGCATGACAGGCATCTCTATAAATGTGTTAACGTTTATAATAATGTGTTATGATGATTCTGTTAGCGAAATCCTCTTAGCCTTCAGTGACATAAAACAGTATACTGCAGACCATTAGGGATAGTAGCGTGAGATGCTTCAAACAGATAAAGGACTATTTAGTAAGGAAACATGGCAGTTATGATATCTCTGAGTATCTGAACCTTACTTGTAATTTGTAACAAAAGTTTCTGAGCTACAGCTCAAGAATTAGTCTCCTGTCATCATTAACTTTTCCAGCAGTATTTGTCTCTCTTTTATGCCACAGATTTATTTATTCGTGCAGTTCTTAACCAGTTATGCTTTTGATCCAGAGATTTTCTTTTAACTAAGCAACACAATTGTTGAAACAATCTTTTCAATCTTAATTGCTCTTTATGCAAATCTCATATTTTAACACACTTTTTTTCCCCCCCCCCGCCATTCATCCTCCCCCCATCCCGCCCAAACCCCCCTTGCTTTTTCTGTAATGATGGCTGTGCTACTGTGTTTCTGATAGCATGGTGGTACCAAGTTTCAGGTGTTTCGCAAAAGTAACTATTTCCTTTTTTTGGCAGTACCGGAAGGGGGAGTCCTTTTTTGACAAGCAAGATTTTAAGTGCCCAAATCCATTTCCTAATCAGATTAGACACAGTCCTTTAATTAACTTTCACTTTCCTTGCTTATGCTTTCATCAGTAGTAGTATTTTTCCTTTTTTTTTTTATTGTTTTATTCAATTATTAGCTATTTTTTTCATGTACTTTAAAATCATGAGTGGAATTACATAAATTCTTTCTCAACCTCATTCCCATTTCTTATTTTGGAAGCTTTCACTACATCATGTTGGAGTGAATTGCAAATTCAGATGGGATCTAAGCTTTGAGAAGAGTCCAGTCTGGATAAATTGATGGTAGTGACCGAACATCCTAGAAACATGACGTTAGAATCAACTCTTAAGTTGCTGTATTTTATTGTGCTTTTGTTCTTCCTGTACAAGCTGGAAGAATCTGAGTAAAGTTCACTTTGTGTTCTTTAGTACGTGAGACACACTGTAGAATATACATTGCTCCTTGCCAGTTTCAGAATCTGTGTTTGTTGATATTTACCTTCTCTTTCTGCTATCTCAGTCTGTTTTCTGTCTGTAATACAAGTGTAATGCTTCAAGTAATGTACTGCTTGACATAAACTAATACACAATAACAATTTGATTATCATAAAGATGCATCAATTTTCATAGAAAAGTTAGACAACTCTCAAAAAATTGAAATGGTAAAATGTTGATATGTTGTGACTGATGTCATAACCCGTGAATGTATTTTTATCTGGCATTTGTTGCAGAGAACAGTAACAGTAACCATTTAATTTATGATGGCTTGCTAAAGGAAGTGTACCTCTATTTTCTGGAGGTCAGTTTCTACTTTTGCATCTTGTATCGTAAACTCACTAAACCAGAAAACAGTAAAAGCCATCTGAGTACTTTTTAAACTGTGTGATTTATCTGCATGCAGCAACATAATGCAAAGGAAAGAACATGTGTTTAAAAGAAAAAAATTGTCATTTAAGTGCAATTAGTTTCAGTATCTGGAGTCCATAGGAAGCTCTTTTAGCAGACAGACCAAAATTGTTGCCAAGGATTAATATGCCCTCTAAAAATTAGCTTACTGTTTTATCCCACCCCTCCTTGTTGCCCCTGTGAGCCATCATATTGTCATTGCTGCTGTGCACTGTATGTGCACAGAGAACACAGGGACCAGATGGAGCAGCCACCCCCAGTGATTTGCCTAAAGCAGGGTGGAGCTGGAGGTCACCTCCCACTACAGAGTTGGGGGCACCGTTTTGCTTTGGCTGTCATCTCATGGTGGGAAGACATCATGTTTGGCCACCGTGTAACCCACATGCTTACATACTGCCCTGCACCTGGCCACCAGCGCTGACAGCATCAAAGGCATGTGACCTGAACATACTTTCCAGCTGGCTGCTTACTTCCTTTGGACCACAAAATTCCTAGATACAAATATATATGCATTTATATGTATGTATATGCATAGTAAATCTAGATATAAAATCCTTTATGAAGAAGTAAAACTATGTATTTTACTTATACTTTGATCAACCTTATATGTAGCTTTACAGAAGTATTATATACAATATAGATCTATATACTTTATATAGTGTAAAGGTACATAAATTAAATATATCTCTCTCTACCTAAAAGTGTATGTGTGAAATGTATAAAAAATATTTTTTAGAGCTAATGAAATTAAAGTTTAAATGTGAATATAAAGTAATTAAATAACAACATACCTGAACTAGTGGAAGGTGTCCCTGCCTATGAAGGGGGTTTGGAGCTAGATGATTTTTAAGGTCCTTTCCAACTCTGGTAAAGTAGGTTGGTGCCCTCTACTTCACAAGTCTAATGAACAAATCCTGACATGTTTGGGTGGAGGGAGGTACAAGAGGACAAGGAGGGGGTATGAGGAGGGCAGGGTGAGGAGAGGGGTACAATCAAGTGGGACTACTTGCCTGTCTTCAGAGATTGCCCACCAAGGGGCCCCTGTGTGTCCCCTGCAAAGTACAAAGAGGAGCCCAGTCCTGGAGCTCCACATTTGGCACCAGACAATCTGTTTATTGCCGGTGCAGCTTTGAGGCTTTCCACTGTGTTGCAAGACACAGGCATTGCTCTCTGCAAAAGTGGAAATCCAGAACAAATTTCCAACTTGAGAAGAAATGGGTGTGGAGACAATGAGGACAAACCCCAGCAGGACTCCTGAAAAAAAGACCACATGAAGCGGAACAGCCATCTGATAGGCCTGTGAATCAGGAAACAATCCCCAAGTAAGTTTCACAGAAAAAGGAGAAGTGCTGGTGGGAGTTGCTTTAGCCCACTGCTTTGGGGGAACATTGCGGTACCTTTTATATCACTGTGAGGTACAGGCTTGAGCTATATCTGTTTCCTTATCCTTAGGTTAATGTCCTTACAGGACATTTAAAAAGCTCTAGCCAACTAGCTGAGGAGGTAGAAGACAGAAGTGTTCCCATACAGGCCTGCAGCAGTTAAAGAATGATCAGAGAGAGGACAGTGGCTTTCGTGGAGGAGTGGGGTAAAAAAACCCAAACAACAAAATCCTTGGAAAAGCCTCACTAATGACTGACACCCATCATAACCATTAATAAAGTATCTTTTTGCATTAATTGAGTCATGGTGAAGTGTTAATTTCTTATGTGTGTGTAATGATGGTGTGTCAATAGAGATGTCCATATCACTTCCCTTTAAGTGCATTTGCTACACTCCTGGGGAAGTGGGAAGCTTCGGAGATAGAAATACCATTTTAGAAGCTACTGAAAGCCCAGCTGTTGATACGAACTGGAGCTAAGTGGCAACTTAATTTGCAAACCAGGATACCTGCACCTTATGCAAGCCACCAAGAAAGCACTTTATGAGACAAGGTGCTTGTGGCAGAGGTGGATGCTCTATATTAGCAGACTTGGTGTATGTGCAGTAGTTTTCCAAACATGACACTACTGTTAAGTACAGCTTAAGTACAGTGCTAGACATACTACACAAGAATGTCTCTGCCATGGCAGAATGAGTTCTGATATACCAGACGCTTGTAAAGTGATTTTTAGTGGGCAGTACACATATCAGAAATTACAGACTGATGGTAAAAAGATTTTTTTTTTTTTTTAAAGCCAGCCTTATACTGCTTTAACAGCTTGTTCAGTGATCACCATCTCGTTACTATCAACAAAGCAAAAGTTTACTTTTTGCAGAGTGTACTAAGTGTTGCTTGAAACTAAAATGTGGAAATATTTTAGTGTGCAATATGTTTTGCTGATTGACATGTTACCAGGTTCTATAAAGGGCTATATAACCATAGCTTCCACAGAGCTATCAGAGCCAGGCCTGTGAATGTGGTCCCTTTAAACTCTGTGAAGGTTTGGAAAATCAAATCCCAGAATTTATTTTAAAATCAAAGAATATGTGCCTTTGCTGAAAAAGTGAGACTATATCACAGTGGTTGTAACAAGAGATATTTAAGAAAGGTTGTCATCAGATATTTTTGAGTGAAGTCTTCTCAATAGCAGAAACTGTGGGAAGGGAGTAGGTTTCATGTGCAATGGTCATAAAGCAATGGAGGGGACCTTTGGCCCTGAAGAACTTCAGGGGAGGACAGGAAGGACAAGAATCTACAAAACTGACAAAATCATTGCTGCAAAAGTTGAAAATAAGAAAGAAGCAGCAGCCCATATCCAGGACATGTAGTGGTTAGAGTTGGGAGTGGGGGTAAAATAAGGGTGGCAGGTGGCAGTTTCTACCTTATGCTAGCCAGCAAAAATCAGAATTTTCTCACAGAAGTAACTTCACCATAGATTTGGTGGGGCTCCTGGATCTGTTCTGCAAGTAGGATGGGAAGTTGGCAAAAATGCAATACCTGCACAAAAGGAATAACCTCAGTGAAGACAGCATCTTTGAAATAGCAAGGCAAGACATGGCTGGATAATGCATGGCAGCACCATTGCAGAAATCCTGTTACTGCCATCCCTCGGGTGTTGGTGTAATGTACTAACCTTTCTACTAACCTCCACAATAGAGCTTCAGCTATCAGCTCCTCAGCTGTTGCCGTTGCCTATATCATGTCATAAAGAAAACAGCGTAGAATGGATGAAAATCCTTTTCTTTATCTCTTGTAATGCTATTCATAAATGCATGGTGTAAATAAAGCTTAGAACCCAACTTAAAGTTTATGTGTGTGGTCTTCAACTATTCCTTCAATTGTTTTAAAAATGGGCAATATAGACATCAAAGTTGAAAGTTTTTGTGATAAGTGTTACCCTAAATACTACAGGGTAAGGCATCAAGCTTTTTAGGTAGCTTTCTTTTGAAACACGGTGTGTATGGTGCTTCTCGGTTCTCATTCACCTTAGTTGTTCCAAGAGATCCTGTTTTGCTGTGTTACCTGTTACATTCACCACAACCAGGGTATTGGTAAAACGTTCCAACATTGCCCAAGCTTAAAGGAGCTTTGGGCAAACCACTGGGAGCAGCTGCTCCAGACACTCCCAGGGTGCTCTGTGTTGATGCAGGGGATAGCAATGGCAAAATGGTGGTCAAAAAGGAGGGGATGGAGGGAGAAAAGCTAGTGACATTCACAGAAGGTGAGGGAGTTTGGGGCCAAGTGGTGCTGGTGACAGGTGGAGGGGACAGATCTCCTTTTGGGTGCTGAGGTGCAGTGTCTCTTCCAGGATGAGCACCGTCCTCGTACTGCTTGTATATGTCTCTCCAACCTTCCTGCATCCTTTTCCTTTCCTGAGCTTTCAGGACACTCCCTGATGCTGGCCATCATGCTTTTCTTTGGGTACAATCCTGGAGCTGTGCTTTGGCACATCCCTGACTGCCTCAAGGGGATTTTGTTGTCTTGCCTTTCCTGATCACATGGCTGCTGTTTGCAGGAGACAAGCTAAAGGTATGGGATGTTTATTGATTTAGAGGTAGTGCACTGCACGCTGCCTGAGCCAAATGGCTTTCACGGGTCATTACAATAACTAATTTCACTGATAAAATGGGTGCATTTGTAAACCTGGTTTAATTTACCTATCTGCTTTGTTATAAACTTCCCATTCAGAATGGACACATAAAAGCAGTAGACTCTATGGAGTTTGCAGAGTGTACTGGATCTTGGCAGGTTGCTGTGTTACAAGCGTCAGGAGTGTTGCATGTGTTGATTCTGCTCTTTATGACTTATTTTAAAAGGTGTAGAGTTACACTGTGCAAGGTGATTTTTTTGTGGTCTCTCTCATAGCAAAGTGACAGCTTTTATTTCTACAATAGTTTACATAGCGCAAATCCAACTTTTACCTTTGGAAGCTTTAGAAGGGGAGATAACATTGCATGTTCTCTAAAATTAATGTGTTCACATACTGAGGGTAGTACAAACTGAGGTTTAAAAACGAACTCTGAAAGCTGTTGTATCTTTATTCAATGTCTGTGAAGTGAGTTTCCATCTCTTGCACATTGAGGGTGAGCATATCTATCATCAGCATCGGCCAGGTGCTGGTTGGGCAGAAGTGCAGGAGTGGAGGTCCCTGGAGCTCAATTCTTTGTTGGAGGCTCCCTTTTAGTGGTTGCAGGTATTTGTTGCTGAGCCTTGGGCGCAGGTGGTGGCGCTGCTATGAGGACCTGCTGTATGCCCTCTGCGTGGTCACCCACCACATCCAGCAGGTGTGCAAGCTGGCCATGGACTCCTAGTCCTCGTCATCTGACCTTGCCGTGTGCAGGATGGTCTTGATTGGCCACCTGCAGAGTGGACACGTAGCTGCCATGTCAGCCCACTGCTTGATGCAGTGAAAGCAGAAGGCATGAAAGCAGGGATCGATGTAGGCTGTGTCATCAATGGGGTTCAGGCAGATGGGGCACAGGCCATTTGCTGCAGTCTCCTGCTGTGGCAGCTTTGTATCGGCCATTGTAGCAGAGTCACTGTCCTTCTCAGCACCCGATGCCATGTCCTGCCAAGAGACATGCAAAATGCCTGGACTTTTCATGCACCAGGAGTGGAACAGCAAAGCAAGCCCTGGAAAGTGGTGAGAGAGGGGAGGCAGTGCCCCCTGAAGGGTCTCCTAGCAGGCTGGAAAGTGGCCAGCCAGCCCCATGGGCTGCCTTCTACATGTGCCTGCCTCTCCCACCATCTCCCAGGCATGCTGTCCCCCATTTCAGGACCTCCACCCCTTGCACTCTCCCCCGGACAGCCAGCATGACTCATGCTAATAATGTACCTGCAGAAGGCAGAACATGGAGGAACTGGCTGGGAGCCTTCAGTGGCATCAAGAGCCCCTGCGCCCTCAAGCCAACAGACCTGGGTCAGCAGCTGTACAGGATTTGCAGCACCCACGCTAGCCAAGTCTATTCAGGAACACAGCAGAGGAAGTCCACACACAGGAGGTTGTGTGCTCTGTGTTTGCATGCTCAGGAGACCTGGACCAAATGCATTGCGACAGAGCCTGCACCTGCTGCAGAGCAGTAACATTGGGGTCATTACAGGAGTCTCTGGGCTGCACCCCAGCCACCACCTAGTGAGGACAGCAAGCACCCCAGGTGGGCAAAGCCCCTGCTTAATGGGTTGTTTGCCATGTTTTGATGATTTCTGGGGAAGGGATTGTTGTGCCTGAGCACAAAGACTCAGCAATGGGTAGCGCAGCAATGCAGGTGAGGAATCCTTAATGCCAATAGAGCATCCTGACTTGGCTCCTCCAAGAGCTGCCAGAGGAGAAGGGCTCACCCCTTGTCTGTAGCGGGAAACCTGCAGAGATGGCTTTTGAGCATCTTCAAGTATGGCAATGCCCTAAGCAGTGTTACTGCTTTTCATTCCACTGGGTGTCACTAGAGTTTAACACTTGTCTGTGGGCCAAGCTCAGTCTGGTCCAACGGTAACCTCGCGGGTGTTGGTCATTCTGGTTTGCTTTTTTTTTTTTTTTTTTTTCAGAGGGATATTGCCGACTGCTTTCCAGTTATCTTTTTCCTTCAAATACATGCAGACTATGCCAAGCAAGCAAATATGACAAAATACTGTACTTCCAAATCTAATTCAAATAGTCATTTTAGGTGCCTGGGTGTAAGGCAAACAAGATTATTCTGGTTTTCTTAATACAGCTTTCAAAGCCAGCAGCGTTATGTCTGAGACCAAGACTAAAAGGATATGTTTCACAAATAGGTCTTCATACAGAAAAGGAAAGCTCCAGTGAAAGGTTTATCCGGTCTTTCCTTCTTTAGCAGGAGTAATCACTAACTCGCTGAGCAAAATGACATACATCCTTATCTTGCAAAATAACATTGCAGGTTGAGAAAGAAAGTAATAGGAGAAACTGGTGAGATTTTATCAAGTCTATTCATTGATTACATAAGCAGATTACATGTAATTATTCCTTCATTAATCCTTCAGATATCCCAGTTGTAAGCCTGTTTACGTGTCTGTTAGTTCAGTAGGGACAAGATTTGCTTTAGCTTGCTTGTTTGAACTAATGTTTTTATTTACTAGTGTCATTGCATTCTTGTTGAAATCTGCTTTCTTGGTATTTCCATAGATAAAAGATAACTGTAACTTCAGTAACTGAATAGGTTTTGCATAATTCTTCATCTTTTCTGTTACATGTTTTCCAGACCTTAACCCTGATACATTTAGAACATACTTCTCCAAATAACTT